ATTCAAATGATAGTTTACTGATTTCTGTTATTCCAGTAACTTGATTTTGGCCCTGCAAATCCAAAAATGAAAAATAAAAATAAATAAAAACGTTTTGTTTTTGCTTGTCCCCGACACCTAGTTGTAGCTATTGAAACGTGAAAGTTTCTTCCTGTGAAGAAATATGAATTTTTCATACACTAGTCATAGTTCTACTTACACATAGGTAATGATAATTATCTGATTTATTACCTTTTTTACTTGCTCAGTACATGTAGCTGTTGAAACAAAAGACAGTTAATTGATCTGCTGGTTGATTCCCAGTCACTTAATTGTTGATTTTTGAAATATCGTACAACTTTGGTTTCATTCATTTTTAATTTTAACAGTCTTTGTAATTTCAATATCTTGCATGTGATCATGTTAATGTTTTTACATGATCAACATAAAATGGTCATAAAATAAATCCTCATAAATTGGACATATTTGGGAACTCAGTGTTATTTTATTCAAATGTAGTGAATTGAATGTTTTCATTTGAGAAATTCATACAGCAAATTACAAACACACTTTGGAAGCAAATCTTAGGTGTCAAAGAAAACATCATGGCCAGCTAATTTATTTTTGGTCTGAATATATTTCTCGCTGAAGGGGTGATTTTAAAAAAGAATCCGCCAGATATACACTTTGCCCTATATTTTACATTCAACTCATCAAAATTCAGTGAAACTTAACTCTATACAACCCACCTAAAAAGTGTTTGCAATGAAAATTAATTTCAGCTAAAATATTTGACAGTAATCTGTACATTGGCCATTTCTTTCAATCTCTGTACAAAGACAAGTTGCATATATACATATGGGCATCAATTTTGTTTGTAGTTTGCTTAATTATGACCTAATTTGGATTGAAATTATGAAATTATTTATAGGCTAACAGGCTCTATTTCACTGAACATAAGTGAAGGTGTACATTCAAATTGCTTAATAAATGCACATGCATACATGTTCTTATTGGTGATTCGCTCCACTAGAATTGCCCTTAAAATCACTTTTGTGTATACATGTATATGTGTGTGTGTATGATTTCCAGTGTCTTCACGTATTAATTCTTCAGTGATTTTTTTTGGGGGGGGGGGTAGGATTTGATTTGGTTCAAACTTTGCAAGCAGGTCACACTTTCACTCTAATTAGGCGGTAAAATCTGATAAAATTCCTGGCCCACAATTGCCATGGCAACAGCCAGAAAAATGATTTTTAGAATATCTTTGCGTCAATGTGTTTCACTAAAGAATTATAGGATTAATTAGAAAGCTCTGACATAGCTCGTTCTACTCAGCTTGTGTGGTCACAACCATTTTTTTTTGGATGTCTTTTTTCATTACTGAAAAATATGATCTCAAAGTGGGAGTTACTTTCACCTGTGTGCCACCATTCTCAATGGCAGGGATCTGCCCACGCTGTTCGGTCAGGACAAAAGTTGGGGTCCGGCACTATTCTATTTGTTTATGATACACACAGGTTGTCCGCCAATGGACCATCATTTTAATGTCCTTGTTAGTTTTAACACAACAACATAATGCAAAAATTAATACAGAACATAAGAACAACACATGACACGACTGCATGTTCAAAATCAACATACATGTACGCGTGACATCGGTCTAGTGTGTTTTTGTTTTAACCTCCCCCATTGACATTCTGTTACTTTTAACAACCCAACTAGATCGGAGTAAGTCATACATCAAGATAATGGAAGAGAAGACAGTGATAAATAAACAGAAGGAAAGATTATCATTGCAGTTTAATTCTGTGTAGGATTTGTAGAGTTGAACAATAACTTGCTCACTTCACTGGCAGGGTTGTGTCAAACTGTTGTTTGTTTAATCTACACTTGCACATGAATATAGTAACCTTCGTTGATGTTTTTGGCTTCATGACTCGTTCATAAAATTGAATTCATAACCTATATTTAGTCAGCGATACAAGGAATACTTATTTACCAGCATTCCATTATAAAGAAAAACAGATTAAATTCATGTTTCCACTTTGACCGTAACAAACAGATGACATGCTTTGAAAAAAATTGTACAAAAATACATATTTTAGATATGATTGCAAAAATAAAGTGTATATATTTTTTTCACTTTTATCAAAGCAGATTAATTTTACATTGAAATATTTAAAATAAAAGTTTAAAGTAGTTAAATCGAACTAGCGACCGACACTCAAATCATGCTGGGCAGAACCCTGAAAGTCCTTTCAAGGTAGACAACTCAATTAAAATAAAATTTCTGACAACTATTCTATATATACTTCCCATGATGCACTGGAGCCATGCTTTGTAGATCTCAATTACACTCATTTTGTTTCAGCAGAATTTTGCGATATTCTCCTACTCAAGAAATTAAAAAAAATGTGTCTCCGAAGTTACAGCATTCATGTAATGAAAAAAATAGACTTGTGTCACTAATGAAGTTGCTTTTGTTTTGTTTTGTTTTGCAGCATTTACCAGATCCAGACCAGCCTTCCATGATGGATTTTTATCAAGCTTGGGAGACGTCGCCAATGCGAAAGCGAAAGCTAGTTGAATTATCTCCGCAAAGTGGTAAGAAATTCAAAAAGTCAAAAAGCATTAGTGTTAAAAAAGCCAAACCTGGAATTGAAAAAGAAAAAGTGAAAAAACTGAAATCTGGAAAAAAAGATACTGAGAGTAGTTCAAGCAGTGAAGATAGTTCATCAAACTCAGAAAATGAGAACAAGAATAAAGTCAAGGATAGTAGTGCAAAAAAAAAGAGAAAAAAAGAAAGTTCTAGCTCAAGTAGTGATACCAGCTCCAGTGAGGAAGACGCAAAACCACCAGTCACTAAAAAGCCTGCTGGAAAGAAGAAAGTGTTGACTAAAAAAGCTGTTTTGAAAAAAAAGCCAACTTCTGATGATTCTAGTTCCGATGAAGAGGAAACCAATAATAAGAAAAGAGTGAAAAAAACAAGTTTATCTTCAAAGAAGATCACAGTAAAATCAGAAACAAAAACAACTGGAACACCAGCAACAAAGAAACCAAGTGCTACATCATCTTCGTCATCAAGTTCAGACAGTAGTTCTGAAGATGAAAAAAAAGATAAAAAAACACCTAGTAAGAAACCTGATACAAAGAGTCCTGCTACAAATATGGTTGCTAAGAAACCAGCCAAGGAATCATCTTCATCATCATCAGAGTCTGACAGTAGTTCTGAAGATGAAAAAGAAGTTAAAAAGACACCCAGTAAGGCCCCCAATAAACAATCTAGTAAGAAACCTGATGCAAAGAGTCCTGCTACAAATCTGGTTACTAAGAAACCAGCTGAGGGATCATCATCATCCGAGTCTGACAGTAGTTCTGAAGATGAAAAAGAAGTTAAAAAGACACCCAGTAAGGCCCCCAATAAACAATCTAGTAAGAAACCTGATGCAAAGAGTCCTGCTACAAATCTGGTTACTAAGAAACCAGCCGAGGAATCATCTTCATCATCATCATCATCCGAGTCTGACAGTAGTTCTGAAGATGAAAAAGAAGTTAAAAAGACACCCAGTAAGGCCCCCAATAAACAATCTAGTAAGAAACCTGATGCAAAGAGTCCTGCTACAAATCTGGTTACTAAGAAACCAGCCGAGGAATCATCTTCATCATCATCATCATCCGAGTCTGACAGTAGTTCTGAAGATGAAAAAGAAGTTAAAAAGACACCCAGTAAGGCCCCCAATAAACAATCTAGTAAGAAACCTGATGCAAAGAGTCCTGCTACAAATCTGGTTACTAAGAAACGAGCCGAGGAATCATCTTCATCATCATCATCATCCGAGTCTGACAGTAGTTCTGAAGATGAAAAAGAAGTTAAAAAGACGCCAAGTAAGGCACCTAATAAACAATCTAGTAAGAAACCTGATGCAAAGAGTCCTGCTACAAATCTGGTTGCTAAGAAACTAGCCAAGGAATCATCTTCATCATCAGAGTCAGAGTCTGACAGTAGTTCTGAAGATGAAGAAGAAGTTAAAAAGACACCCAGTAAGGCACCTAATAAACATTCTAGTAAGAAACCTGATGCAAAAAGTCCTGCTACAAATCTGGTTGCTAAGAAACCAGCCAAGGAATCATCTTCATCATCATCATCCGAGTCTGACAGTAGTTCTGAAGATGAAAAAGTTAAAAAGACACCCAGTAAGGCACCTAATAAACAATCTAGTAAGAAACCTGATGCAAAGAGTCCTGCTACAAATCTGGTTGCTAAGAAACCAGCCAAGGAATCATCTTCATCATCATCATCCGAGTCTGACAGTAGTTCTGAAGATGAAAAAGAAGTTAAAAAGACACCCAGTAAGGCCCCCAATAAACAATCTAGTAAGAAACCTGATGCAAAGAGTCCTGCTACAAATATAGTTGCTAAGAAACCAGCCAATGAATCTTCATCATCATCATCATCATCAGAGTCTGACAGTAGTTCTGATGATGAAAAAGTTAAAAAGACACCTAGTAAGGCCCCTAATAAACAACCCTGTAAGAAAACTGTTACAAGTCCTGCTACAAATCTAGTTAAGAAACCAGTCAAAGAATCATCTTCATCGTCATCTGAGTCGGACAGCTGTTCTGAGGATGAAAAAGTTGAAAAAAAGCCACCAATTAAGGCTCCTGTAAAGACTCCTAATAAACAACCTATTGTGAAAGCTGGCACAAAAAGTCCTGGTACAAATCTGGTTGCTAAGAAAGCAGCCAAAGAATCGTCATCCTCATCTTCATCTGAGTCGGAAAGTAGTTCTGAGGATGAAAAGAAAGAAGTTAAACTGCCAGTAACTGCAACTGAAAAAAAGCTGCCCCAAAAAAGTTACATTGAAGAAAGATCAAAGTAGTTCGGAAGAATCAAGTTCTTCAGAATCTGAAGAAGAGAAACAGATACCCAAGAAAATTTCACAGCCGATGAAAGTCAATGGAAAACCGATGGAGTCAAGTGACAGTAGCAGCTCTGATTCTAGTAGTGACAGTAGTTCTGAAGAGGACAATCAAGTCAAATCAACCCCTAAAATGAAAATTGTAAATAAGAATAATATTGTTAGCAATCATCTTATAAAGAAAGACAAAACAAAACCATCACCAGCTAAAAGAAAAAAAGAAAAAAGTTCATCATCTAGTGAGTCTGACAGTAGTAGCTCTCAGTCAGATGAAGAGGAAGAACTCAAGACTCCTGTCGTGAACGGGAAAAAGGTGAGATCACTATTTAATGAAATCAGATACTGCCATTCAAATTTCAGATAGGTAGATGTATACATCAAGATCACAATGAGTTTCTTATACTTGCCTTGACAGATTTTGTACATAGATGGCAAATTTCTTTTTGATGTACTTCATTTTTTTTTTGTGATTTCTCTGAGATTTAGTTGACCTAATTTTCAAAAAGTTAAAAAATAGATTTCAACATGTTATCAAGTTTTTTTTGTATGCATGGGTTGATTTCATTCAAGCTGGGTATTTTTATTATCATGCATCTTTTCTCATTTCACTTAGACATTCCAATTGTTAGAGCACATAATATACTGATGTTTAAAAACTTGTTTGTATATCATCTAAGTTCCCCATTGTGTGCATTTCTTCACAACAGAAATCTAAGAAAGACATGAAAACTCCCCCAGCAAAAAGTGACAAAATTGTAACAAAGACCCCATCCACAGTGCCTCAGACTAAGAAAAAACAAAAGGTAAGGGTTCTTTTTTTAATTTAACAATTACCTGAATGTGTACATGGCTGTTCTACTAATATCTCAAAAACAATCAATGGATTTCAAAAAAACAATCATTGGATTGGATTTTTGTGGTGCTTTGATGGATGTTGATGGAAACCTGGTCATGAGAAGTCGATTTGCCAAAAATTATACAAATTAGCTACCAAAAACTATGATACTAATTGGTCTCCATGGCTGATATTGATAGTGCACATGCATATGGGTTTACCTTTATTAGTTTTGTTAATTTGGTGACAAAATTTTAAATTCTCTATTTTGGGTGAATATTTTTGTCATTTTTGGTAAAAAAAAAAAGAAATAAACCTGATATATCCTAATGCTGATTATGGAGTTACCACACACGACTCAATGGAGACTTAAGTCATTCAACAGGATTTTTTTTTTGTAAAACAATGTTAGGAACCGGGGGGGGGGGGGAGAACCTATTTGTAATTATATATTTAGTAGATGATATTTGGTAATCGGTGTTATCATTTAAAATAGCTAAACATAAATGTGTGTTAGGGTCAGTAATTTTCTCCTATGCATGTACACATGTGATAGAACATGTTCTTGTGTGAAAACTCTCGTGCGTTCACATTCAAGCCGCCAATGTTTGTTAAACTGTTTTTATCAGCCTTCAGGGAAATACACAGAAACACAATGTTGTATCATCACTTAATTTCTTGTATTTTATTTTTTTAAATGTTTCTGTAGGAAAAAAGTACAACTCCATTCAAACGTGTTGATGAGAATAATGTGGAGGTCGATTATCGATTGGCAGACAACTCATTTGAAGCTAAGGTAATTAACATAAACACCATGGAAACGACAAGCCTGCCCCTCCGGTTACAGAGTAGCTTCTTGAACACCTGGTTCTGTCTCCCACCAGTTATATGAATTCCAAACACCTGGTTCTGTCACCCACAAGTTATATGAATTCCAAACACCTGGTTCTGTCTCCCACCAGTTATATGAATTCCAAACACCTGGTTCTGTCTCCCACCAGTTATATGAATTCCAAACACCTGGTTCTGTCACCCACAAGTTATATGAATTCCAAACACCTGGTTCTTTCATAGACCAGTTATATGAATTCCGAGGTATGTAAATGTGTCGAAATGGACATAGTGCGAGTGGTTAGTGCTAGTAGCACTAATCCGAAAAAGTACTAGATCTAGTGCTAAAATGGCACTAGATCTAGTACTAAAATGGCACTAGATCTAGTGCTAAAATGGCACTAGATCTAGTACTAAAATGTACATAGTGCGAGTGGCATTGATATCGCGTTGTCAACGACGTCGAGACATCCCGTAATTGTCTGAAAATAAATTACTATTTACGTAAAGTTGTTGTATCTTTCATTTATTGGAAATGTGCTACAGTGGGAAAACTGAGTATGTACATGAATGTCATTGTCCACGTGTATCGTAACTAATAGACCTTTGAAACAACGCGATCGGCCGGGAAA